CCTTATCCCCTAAACCCTAAAACGCATCAGCATTGTTTCTACTGCCCAGATGGAGTGTCTTGTCCACCCTCCCATCTTTGCAAATGACGTTTCACAACCTAGGTAGGAAAATGCTCAAGTTGTAGCCAGGTTATTAGCTATATCTCTCCCATACTTGCTATTATGAAGCACACTAAAGTCCTTATAGTAGTTTCCGTTTTCTTTTCCGTCATCCCTATATTAACCGATGTTACCATAGTAGTTACCGTTTGCTCTTCGATCAACGCTACATCCTAAACCCCGTAAACTGGCTGGAGAAAACGTCTGACAAACGAAAAAGTTGGATATATATATATATAATATTCTCTAATTCCCGACTAATTCTCCAGCAAGATAGTTGATTCCCGTATTCCCTACTAGCCCCCAGAAAGATCCTTTAACCTTAAACCCTGAACCCTAAACTATCCTAAGCCCCAAAACCCAAAATCCTAAACCCAAAACCTTAAACCCATTTTCCTACCTAGTTCACAACGGTGGGGGGGGAAGGTTGGAGACCAACAGGCCGAGTCTGGACGTTGGGCCTCCTCCGGTGTCCTGGGCTACTGTAAAGGAACTTACAGGACTCTCAGGGTTTTGGGTTTAGGGTTTTACGGTTTTAGGGTTTAGGGTTTAGGGTCCTTGAAGATACCACTTTATGGGTATATAAGGTTTAGGGTTTTAGGGGTTTCAGGGTTTAGGATTTGGTGTTACCATGATATGGGTATAAAGTAACCAAGAGGATTTCCTTGTCACAGTAAGTTTACAAAAGTTCCTGAACAGCAACCCAGTCTCCACCTGCTGTGGTTCCAACGCTTGTTGACGTCACATGGAGGTTTCCCAAAATTAGGGTTAAAGGGGGATATAGGGGTTATATCATATAGGGGTATATAGGGACCCATAGGCTTTAGGGTTTCCCAAAATTAGGGGTACCTTTTGGCGGTCCCCATAGTAAGGATTATACTAGTTTGGGGGTCTATATTGGAGCCCCCCCTATTTAGGGAAACTACCACCTGCATCGCCTGCTATGAGTTCAAACTAGTGGGCTGATTGCCAGGGCCGAGCCCATCTTGCGTCCTTGAAATTGGATTCTTTAGGGTTTGGGGTTTACCCATGAGAGGCCCTCCACCAACAACTGGACTTCAATGGTACAGGACGGAAGACGGCTAGGATAGGCGCGCGTGTCCAGGCATCAAGAAGGATGTCTGTGCATCCACGTTTCCTTTTCTAGTGTGCACCTGCGCCAATGTCCAGGCATTGAAGATGCAGCTGCGCATGCTCCGAGTCGGCTGTTGGCCAGGTGGCTTGCGCAACAGAAAATACATGTTTCGGGTTATTTAGGGATAATGGAAAAGAAAATGGAAACTACTACATTCTAATAGTGTATATATTGGGGTTCTAGTAGGGAATATGGGAATACGATATACTGGACTGATATGAGGTGCTTGCAAGGGAGAGGTTTTTCATGCCTCACAATGTGCAAACCAACCTGCCGCATCCAGACCCAATTGAATGATCCGTGCAGCTCCTCGAAAGCCTTGCAGCTGCGAGAGAGCCACAAAGAAGCTGCTTCCGTCTGCAAGTTGAGCTGTTGAGTGGGTTCATGGTAATAATATACTGAAAATTCTAAAGATATTCATAATGATCATAGTACAAGTCGTAAGATTACAACATGTATTTGTGTGCTTCCATCAGTGCAGCGATTTGCTACGAGTTGCTCACGGCGCTGGTGCTTGGCTCCCACAGAGTAGCCTGGGGCTACTGGCTGCGTGTTGTTGGTATTCGTCCGGTGGAGGCGCGTGGCCCCCAGGCCGGTGGGGGGGGGGTGGGGTGCAGGAGAAACAGATGGTACAAGGGTGGGGGTTTACCGAAATTAGGGGTACACAGGCGTCCCTAACTTAAGGATTATAGTATGTTGGGGCCTATATGGGGCCCTGCAATTTTGGGAAGCTACCGGGTTGCTCAGGGTCATGGTTTGCTTTTCGAGCCTTCGTAACGAAAGTTTCCCCCCAATACACTTGATGGTACTAGATTGGGCGGCAATTTATTATTGGGGGGTCGGGGGTTCCTTCTGAGAGTGAGGGGATTATTGGGACCATGAATTGTCAGGGGTGCACAGAGTGTACTTCTATCAGGGCTTAGGGTAGGGTTCCTTCAATTGGGGGACCCGCTGTAGACCACAGAACGCTAGAATCCCTATGACAGGGACCCGCCGCAAAAAAGATACACCTGTTTTTTGGAAGCCCTAAACCTACATATCCTTATGTATCCTGTACACCCATATACAACACCTATAATTCTTAAAGGAACCCTACTGTAACATTTGATTACGTGACATCCCCCAGCCGCATCAAGTCGGTAGTTACTGGAACCCCAATATAGCCCCAAAATGCGAAAATCCCTATTATAGGGACACCCAAAAACTACACCTAATTTTGGGAAACCCTAAAGACGGTATATCCCAATGTACAAGAAAATCCTCCTTTGAAGGTACCCCGAATTTTCGGAAACGCTAAAGCCTATATGTCCCTATATACCCCTGTATCCCCCTTTAAAGGTACCCCGAATGTTGCGAAACTCATAGCTCTGCAGAAGGATGTCGCGCGCTGCCCGGTCCAGTCTGGGCCTCTTTCACATCTCGCATGAGCCATAGTAAAACTCCTAGTATCCGCCTTGATACGGGGTTTTGTAGGGATTAGGGGTTATAGTCTAGACTCTATAGAGGGTTATATAATGAATTAAATATTGTTTACGGTCTAGACCCCTTTAAGCGGGTTCAATAGGGGATTTTATAGGGGACTATTTTATAGGGGACTATTTTAGCGGTTGCTGTAGGGGGGTACTAGGAGTTTAGACCATAATAGCCCCGTAATCTTGGGAGGATCCAAAAACGTAGAACGCTCAATATGATACCCTACTGTTGGGTGTGTCTCGGAGCCCTTTAGTGGGATTTATTTTGCAGATCCTCCCAGAGGTGTGGGATTCGGGGCGGGGCTCCTATGAACCATAGGAGCAAATGGTAGTTCACCCCAATTATAGACCCCAATATACTATGATCCCTATTGTAGGGACCCCCGCAAGAGGTTTCGCTAGAATTTGGGAAGCCCTAAACCTTGTATATCCCTGCATACCTTTTTCTGAACCCAAAGAGAAAATTGGAAGATATTCCGGTGGCCCATGGCAGGGATTCTAGAGGGATGGGGGCGTACTACAGGGGCCTAAATAGTTACCAATGTCATTTTGAGGCCCATTTGGGGTAACATAGACCATAATTGTTTAAGGAAAAGGGAACCATAATATTGTCAATTATTCAGGCCTCTATATTAGTTGATAAGCATCCATTTGGGATTGTCTTGCTTCGTCCTATTGTAGATTTGGGAAGAAAGGAATAGATTCGTATGAAAGCCCTCAGATTACATTTTCGTTTTCCATTGCTTCGTTCCCAACTATCCACATCAGCCCGTTGGGGATCATGGTAGTATGCTCCTCTTCTGCTACTGCTACTACTGTTGACGGACAAAATCTTAAATGACACTGGGCATACTCAGGGAGTACTAGAACTCCGTGGAGACCTTGAACCCTAAATCCGAACCCAACAGTTCTGTATATGGGATCATGCAGGATATTGTCCACCAACAGTATTCGTGGCTGGAGGCCCTCAACCCTCAACCCGTGAGCCTGGTGTCTTGCCATCCAAGACCAGCCCAGCTGCTTAGGTTTTTAGGGTTTTAGGGTTTCGGCTTGTAGGGTTCAGGGTTTCGGGTTTTAGGGTTTAGGGCTTAGAGATCCCTTATTACCTCCTAGATTTCCAGGAGCGCATGTGTCTACATCTTCTCAGAGGTCTGGGTTGTGATTTCCAAACTAGGGGCTATTCGTTATCAGGAATTGGGCGGGGCCTTGAAAAGGTGAGGGAGCACTGGGCGCTGGGATCACCATCCCCAAACCTCAAATATTGAACCCTGAACCTCAAACCCAACACCCTAGAGCCTGAACCTTAATCCCTGAAACCTCACCCAAAACCTTACACTTGAAAACCCTAAACCCTAAAAAAAACCAAAAGCTTCAAAGGATCGCCACAGCCGAACGACTCGCTGAAGATTTCTCGCACAATCGCTTGCTTCGGCAGCAAGCCCGGCTTCTGACACAGTCTAGGTTAGGTGGACCCCCCACGCAGTAATAGTGACTATAAGGGATAATAAGGATTATATTGGGGTCCTCTTATATTCCTCTCATACCACTATTACAGGGTGGGGGGTCCTCCTAAAGCCTAGGTTTTTTTCAGTTTTTAGGGTTTTGGGGTGTTGGGTTCAGCGTTGCGGGTTTAGGGCTCTGGCTGTGGTAGGGCTTAGGGCTGTAGGTGAGGGCTCTGGGTGTGGTAGAGTTTAAGAGTTTAGGGCTCCGAGGGTCTAGGGTTTGGGGGAGGATCTAACAGTAGATCCCCACTTAATCACCGGTTCCCCTATCTTCCCCCCAAGATACCTACAACCCTGAAAAATTAGTAGGTAATTTGGGTTCACTAAGACGGAACCTAGGCGGATACTACAGGTTGGAATGGAGGGGGAACCCATGACATAAGGGCTTCTAGACATCGCCAACCAGTAATATAGGAATATAGGGTAGGTTCTGCTTTAGATCCTCCCAGAGGCCAGAGAAATCTGGCAGAAGGAAGAGGAAAATGTTTGCTTGATAATTAGTAGATATTCGCATACGTACGAGTATGTAGTGAACGATGGGCCAAAGAGTTTCAACAAATTGTCCACGGTTCGAGTACGGGCCATGTGCCGTACAGGTTGCTTAAAATGAGGTTCCCCATATTAAGCCCCCACATAGACCCACTTTCCGTTTCATGTCCATAATTGGGATTCTTCCGAGTCGGTGGTGCGTTTTGAGCAGGAAGAACCGTTTAGATTGAAGCGGCTCCCTGACGAAGTAAAGCTTTGATAATAAGGGTCACCCCCTGGAGTTCTGACAAGCTGCTGAGTCAGGCCGATATGTGGCTAAACGGCCAGATGGCCTGCGAGTCGACCGTGACGGCTGCATGAGGCTCGACGTGGCGGCCTCAGATGCAGGGAGAGCTTTTCTTGCTAAGTAGCAGTACTGGCGGTGTGCTTCTCGTCAAGGTGGTGGTGGTGGTGGCGAGGGCGGGGGCGGTGGCGGTGGCGGTGGCAGTGCAGGTGGCAGTGGTGGCGGCAGTGGCGGCAGCTACCGCAGTGGCCGCAGTGGTGGCGGCGGGGGTGGTGGAGGAGGTGGAGGCAGCGGCGGCGGTGGTGGCGGTTGTTGACGTTTTCCTCCTCGTCGTAGCGGTCTATTGCTGCATGTAGTCATCTTATTAGTGTAATTAGTTGTCGGCCCCATATGAGAACGATGAGCATTCTTTAAATATCTCGGTGAATCACCTTGTCCCTGCAACGTGCCATGCTGTTTTTCTCAGGACATCATGCATTTCTGGGGCGACAGGCGGGCTTCAAGTATCGCTGGACTCAAATTACTTGGCAGCTGTTCGCCCGCTGTGTGCTCAAATGGAAGGTGACATGGAAACTGTTCTTGCTTCGGTGCTGTTGGCTTCGGCCACGGGTAGATATGCGGGGTGAGTGTACGAATGTAAATCATGGGAAGACCTTTCCCAAACACATGCGACAGGTACCAGGGGTTTCCAGCAAAGCGGGTACCCCTTCATTACACGGCCCCAAGCAATGACCACACACTTTGCACACCTAATCCCTGCAAACACCTATGTAATCCCAGTTTCCGTTTGATTTACCATGTTCCTTTCCATTCGCTCATCTATTACGGGGGTCATATTTCCCCATATACTCCCTACAGAACTTAGCCCCTTAAAGGGACCGTACATGATCATGTAAAACCTTGTTGCAGGGCCGGTCTCCGAGAAACCGACATCCTGCATGCAGACCTTCAGCGGCAACTAGTGATTAAAGCCTGTCCTAAAAGAGGATACTGTAGGGTTGTTGGGATATATCGGGTCAAGGGCTTATAGGGCTAGGGTAAAATGGAATCCAAACGGACAAGAGACGGGACATGAAATGGACATTGAGTTCATGCAGGGTCGTCTAGAGGTTGTAGGTAGAGGAAAGCCAACTTCTAATAACCAGGTATTCTACCATAGTTTCTTATGATTGCCATTATAGACGGCACTAGTGTTTTATAAAATAGTTACCTAGAGTCGCGCCTGCCTTGATCATTGCTAGCTGAAACTTCAAGCTTTCTAGTAGATCTTCTTCTCTGAAATCTCTCGCGCCGAAAAAGTGCGATGCAGAAGCTGCTTTGTGCCCCTCCTGACACGATTGTTCCCTAAACCCTGAGCCCCTAACATGTGCATTGTATGGTAGTTTCTCAAAACAAGGGGACCCCAATGTAGACCCCAATATACTCTAGTCCTTATTATTACGGGGACTCCCCAAAATACTACCCCTAATTTTAGGACCCCAAACCTTGTATATCCCTGTATACGCCTATATGATCCCTAAGAGGCAATTCCATATTCTGTCTACTTAAGGGGGACTATAGCACCTACAATGTAAACCCCTTAGCCCTAAACCCCAAATACTAGTTTCCAGCTTCTTTTCCATTATCCCCATATAAGCCCTATATAGACCCTAGTAGTATAATGCTCCTAGCACGTACATGTCCGTAAGAGCCAATGCTGTGCTTGGAGCTAGGTTCGACGGCACATGCTGGGACCTGAGCTCTCCTGCCATGTGGCCTAAGGGTTTACGTAGGATTTCGGGATATATAAGTATATATGCACACAAACGATTGTATTTGTGCAGGGGTCTTGTAGTGGTTGCATTGGGGGTTGTTTTGATCGCGAAGCTCGCATATTAATACTCTCCCAAAAAACATGGGCCCGGAAAAGCGTGCCCTTGCAATTCTCGTGTTTCGCAGAGTTTGCCTAAATGCATAACCCTAAGACGCTAAATCCTAGACCTTAAGCCGTAGACCCTAAACAGTAGTTTCCATGTTCTTTTCCATTATCACAATATAACTCTAATATAACCCCTATACAACCACTATATAACCCCTGTATAACCCTATATAATGCACCTATATAACCCCTACATAACCCATTCCCCCAACATGAGCCCAAAAGGTTAATGCTAGACCTTCAGTCAGGTTCAGAGAGCACGAGCATGGTGGATCTCTTCGCTTCGCCATCGACGGCCTCGCTGCAGGGGGTTAGGTTTGGAGGTTTAGGGCCTGTAGTCCCCCTTAAGTATGGCTTTGGGTATATTATGATGAGATCCCCCTATACCCCATATTCTATCTACATCTACTTAAGGGGGACTACAGGATTTGAGGTTTAGGGCCTAGGTTTTCGATGTAGGGCCGTCTTGTACGTCGAAGGCTGATAATGATGCGAAAGGGATTTAGGGTCAAGTTTTAGATGATCCTGTGAATGGGTTGCTCAGGACCATATACCCAATCTTACTATTACTACTATGATTACCTATATTGCCATTTTTACCCTTTCGTACATGTACCCTCAAAATAGGAGCAGAATCAGGGGCATGCTTGGAACAACGGACCCCTTGAATCTGAGAAATCCCAGCTAGACCCCTTGAAGGATCCCAAGGGCAGGGACCACACAAGATGATGGCACCTAAGCTGATGAGGGTTTTGGGGTTTAGGGTTTCGGCTTTGCTTCAATGAGGCTGGGTAGTGAACCTTTTGGATCAAACACCTGGTCTGATGATGGGAGAGGGGGGGCATTGTTTTTCTAAACCCTCAACCATAAACCCCTAAATCCCTAAACCCTAAATCCCTAAACCCTAAACCCCTAAATCCCTAAACCCTAAACCCTGAACCTTGCAGGTGACAGAGATGGGGGCATTGTCATACGGGCAGGGGACTTGGAATGCCAGCCTCTGGAGAGCATGTGAGTAGTATTTTATTTGGGGATACTATGGTACCCATTAAAGGTGCTCAAGCGATTGCAGACTGTGGTAGCCCCCCCGTAGGCCTTTCTGCGGTGCCACAGTTATAGGAGCACTGGCAGTTGTGGACCCAGCCGCCCTTGTGGCAGCAGCGGTCCGTGCTGCTTGTTTGGCCAAGGCCCCTCGTCGCACTGTGCAAGGCGTTGCAGCTGCAGTCGTCTCCGTCCTTGAGAGATGCAGAGTTGACACCAAACACTGTCCGAGGTGAGACTGCCAAAGGCACTGCGGCTTCTATGGACGTCCTGGTGCAAAGCGAAGAAGAGAGGCGTGAGGCTGTCAAAGCCAAGCGCAGACTCAAGAGACAACGCAAGCGTGCAGCAAAGGCTGCTAGCCATGCAAGGCAAAGCGATCCGGACAGACAGACTGGAACAACTGGCGTTATTGTGAATGCTGCCAACAGTGGGGATGCAGAAGTTACCTCGAGAAAAGCCCCACCGCCGAACGTTAGGGACACCACTGGCGATACGCCCCCGGGCAAGCGCTCCCGTGATGTCGCTTTGGGCTTGAGCAATGAAGATGATGGCGGTGCGCAGGAGAGGGCTTTGGCTGCAGCCTCTCCTTCAGGTTCCATGCAAAATTGCTTCTCCTCACGTGAAATGTCGCGTGTGTGCACTGGATTCTCCACTTGGTATGACGCTGTCCTCAACGCTGGGGTGGCCCACTTCCCTGATGGGAAGACCCGAGCTGTTTGCAGATCAGACATGGGTGGGCCAGCTAATTTTGACAATCACTGGATTACAGTTGCAAGCAAGAGACCTGCATTGGAGCACGGCTCTGACTGGCTTGTCCTTCCGAAGGAGCGGCAACTTTCTGGACACAGCTGTTCTTCTGAGCATACATCCGAGACTCCTCGACCCTCATTGCCGTCTTTGTGGACCAGAGAGTAGAGATTTTGAGATAGCAGCCACCACATTTTCTTGGCGCTGGCAACAGACCAGGCGCTCAGGAGCTTCGATGACTGCCTGATGGCCGAGAATAACACTATGGTACCGATTATAGAGTAAGATTATATCCTCCTTGTGGGTATAGTACTCTATATAAGGAACATAATCTTACTAGGCTCAACCACCAAAAAAACACTACTCATGTGCGCTCATCTTGAGATGAGACTTCTCATGCTACTATTGTTTCTATTACTACTGTTACTGCTATTATTCCCGAGTATTAGTACTACAAGTACTAGTATTACCACTGTTACTATTGTCCTAAAATTTTCTGTTACTACTATTATTAATATGACTATTTTTCCTTTTATTACACTTCAGGTGGTCCTTTCACCGCTAACAAAAAACCAGAAGGTAAAATGTGTCACGGTCCCTCTTTCGTCTGGTAGCCTGTCATGTTGAGGAACCTTTGTAAGTATTGCTTTTCAAAGCTAGGCACCCCAGTAGTGCCCATTTTCCCTTTTCCGGGTCTCCTTGTTTAGGAAAAGAGTACCCTTATTTATTTTGGGGTCTAAACCCTAAACCTTAAACCCTAAACCTTAATCCCAAAACCCTAAACCCTAAACCTTAACCCCTAAACCCAGCAAGCAGTTCGTGAGCTCCAAGCTGACGCGTGTTTGTTTCGCCTAGGTGATGCCAAAGGAAGATGAAGGCCGTGCCTGCCACTGGAACCCGCATCCTACTAATTTCCATGAACCGGGGAATAGAAACCCAACAGCCATTTTTATAGGGACCCTAAACCCTAAACCCTAAACCGCCTGTAAAGGATCTGGGGATGAGCCCAAGGGCTGCTTTGGAGAATGCAGGCAGCAATTATGTGGGAAGCCCTGGTGCCCCAAACAGGTCTTGGGTTTCTCAAAAAAAGTTTCCATAAATTGGGGGCCCCAAACTGGACCCAGGACTTCCGAAAAGGGATTCCTAATTTATAGACACCCGCCATGTAGACCCAAGTTTTTACAGCCTTCAGGGGGTCTGGGAATGAGTGCCGCTAGCTGACTTGATACGCCAACCGTGGCTGATGGACCTTTGAAATTGCTGTGTGCCCGAAAGCAACCATGGACAAGCATTGGAGACAAGGGAACGTGCGCTTGACGGAGATTTGGTCATGTTTTGCTTGGTTGGCAGTTGTATCGTTGGTATACACATTGTCCAGTTTTTTATCGTGTACTTTCTGTTGAAGACATTGTGCTTCTGGTCTAGGCCGCGGGGATCAGCGCAGACGTTACCCCTCGCCGCCTCAGAATGGAATGCTCTATCCGGCGCCACAGCCTCAGATTCAAGTTTCCGAAAACGGTTGGAACGTTCTGATTCAAGGATGCCCGGTTTTGCAGCTACTTGCATGGCTCGCTCATGTTCACGCGTGTTTGGGAACTGCCCTTTCTTCAACGTTGTACTCTGTGGCCTAGTAGAGGTGGACGCAGATCAAAGATAGAACTTCTGTGCTACGTTCAGCCACGTGTGGTCAAATCGTCTCGATTTTGAAGCCGCCAGAAGACTATAGATGACCGATGAATTTAATTGAGCCCAAGGGTTCAGGACCGTTTTACTGCGGATGTGTCAAGAAGTGAGGATGCCCTTGCTCTTACTCTGGGGTAAGGCAAACAAGGGCGCCTTGTCTTGAACGACAGTGTGCTGCAGTCTGATTTTGCCCCTACACGATATAGATTTTGGCATAGAGGCTCCTTGGCCTAGTCTATTGGGGTACCATAGGGGTAATGGACAAGAAAATGGAAACAACATGA